GTTCGATGATTTTTTAGTTATGCCCCTTTTACTTTGAAAATAATATGAAATTTTCAGTTTCCGTTCATTATCTCCCCAACGGTACAACACATTCAACTCAAACTTGACATGTGGTTATGTTTTTGGAATGCCCAGGCCAAGTTCGAATTTGGTCATGTGTCAATGATTTTTGGCAGAATAATGCCCCTTTCACTTTGAAAATAATATGAAATTTACAGTTTCTGTTCATTATCTACCCAACAGTGTTACATATTCAACTCAAATTTAACATATGGATATGACAAAGGTATTGGCAGGTCAAGTTAGAATTTGGTCATGGTTCGATGATTTTTTGGCAGCGTTATGTCCCTTTCACTTTGAAAATAATATAGATACATCTTAGGAATAAGCAGTTAAAGTTTGAATTTGGTCGTGGTTCTTGTCCGGACTATAATTTGAAAAGTACTGGTCGGAATTCAAAACAACTTCATACAGTGGTCAAGCATAATAAGAGGAAGTGCAGTGCACAAGAACCATAATTCTATCCAGAGTAATTATAGAGTAATTGACCTTGGTTACTTTTTCCTTGTCCGGAGCATAACTTGAAAACCACTGGTTGGAATTTGAAACAACTTCAAACAATGGTCAAGCACAATGAGGGGAAGTGCAGTACACAAGAACCATAATTCCTTCTTTATTAATCACTGAGTTATTGCCCTTCATTACTTTTTCTTGCCCAGTGCATAGCTTGAAGCTAGTGGTTTCTATTCAATGCAACTTATACAATGGTCAAGCACATTGAGATAAAGAGCAGTGCTTAAGAACCATAACTCCATCTTGATAAATTATTGCCCTATGATACTTTTCCCTACCCGGAGCATAACTTTAATAGTGCTTGTTAGAATTCAAAACAACTTCATACAATGGTCAAGCACAGTATGGGGAAATGCAGTGCACAAGGACCAAAACTCTATCTAAAGTAATTATGGAGCTATTGCCCTTTGATACTTTTCCTTGTCCGGAGCATCACTGGTTGGAATTCAAAACAACTTCATACAATGGTCCAGCACAATGAGAGGAAATGCACTATACAAGAACCATAACTCCTTTATTAATCACAAAGTGATTGCCGTTCATTGGGGTTTTTTTACCCAGTGCATAACTTGAAAGCTAATGGTTGCAATTCAATACAACTTCATACAATGGTGTCAAGCACAATAAGAAAAAGTGTAATGAACAAGAACCTTATCTTTATCCAGAGTAATTATAGAGTGATTGCCCTTTGTTCCTTTCCGTTGTCGCAGAGCAGAACATTAAATCTGGTTGGAATTCAACAAGTTCGTACAATGGTCAAACACGGTGAAATGAAGTGCAGTGCTCAAGAACCATAACTCTTTTTGGACTAATTACATAGTTATTGCCCTTTCTTACTTTTTGTCCAGTGTAATACTTAAAAAGTAATTGTTGGAAATCAATGCAACTTCATACAATGTTCAAGCACAGTAAGATGAAGTGCAATGCGCAAAAATCATAACTCTATTTTGACTAATAACATAGTTATTTGTTACTTTTTCTTGGTCAGTGCTAACTTGTAAACTAGTAGTTGGAATTCAATACAACTTCATACTATGGTCAATCGCAATGAGGGAAATTGCAGTGTACAATAACCATAACTCCATCTTTTAAAATTTGCAGAGTTATTGCCATTTGTTCCTACTTCTTGGTCGGTACAAAACTTAAAAAATAATGTTTGAAATTAAATGCAACTTCATACAATGGTCAAGCGCATTGAGAGGAAGTGCAGTGCTCAAAAACCGTAATTATATCTGGACTTATTACAGAAAAATCCCATTAAATTTCATCAATGGTCAACCACAGTGAAAGGAAATGCAACGTACAAGAACCGTAATTATCTTTAATTGCCCACAACCATAACTTTATTCCAATTCTTTTACAATGTATTCTGGTAATAGTAACTTCCTCATTTCCGAATCAGTCTTGCGGGTGTATTAATCACATTTAGTGATAGCTCTTGTTTTGGTCTTTTTTAAACTAAATTTGCATTTTATAAAGCTGCTTTTGTATACTTCTGTTGCAAAAACTTTATGTACAACTGTATGCTTGTTTCAGAACCAAGTATAAAAAGTGCAATTGATGACTTAAACAGTGATAAAGATATCAGTGGTGGTAGTATAAAAGTTGCCTGGAACAATGCCCCTGGATACAAAAGTGGCTACATTGTAGAACTTAAAGATGGAGAAACTTTAAAGTTTACTAGGACTGTTAACGGTGTTTCTGTAACATTTTCAAGTTCTGGGTTAAAGAATGGATACAATTATGATGTTACAATACAAGCAAAAAGTGAACAGTTTGATAATGGGAAGACTGTACTGGGAGACATTTTTACTTCGAAATTTAAAACCACTCCAAAATGTAAGTTGATATAAATTTATTCAATTTAGATAATATTCATAGAAGTATTGATTTTATCATCAGTACAGTGTGTGTTAATGGTATGGTTATTATGATACTTAAGTTTTTTGTTTTTTTGTCCATGTGCATTTATAACTGGCGATATTTATTGTATGACATTATATGATTTATTACTGAAATATTGATTCACTTCAGTATATATTTTCCAAGTAGGGATCAGCTGACATAAGTTTGTATTGTTATCAAAAACATACTGTTGCAATATATATATGATTGATATGATTATGTATAATAACTGTATATTAAAGTGTTACAATGACCTAATTGATAAGAATCTAATTGCAGTACCTGAACCACCAATAAATGGTGAATGTAAAGCTCCTTCAGACAGTTCTATATTGCTTGATTGGGAAGCAGCAACAAATCCAAATGGTGATTTAGTACAGTACAACATCCATGTTTTTAAACACAGTTATCTTGTGTTTAACAATGTCAGCTCAACAGGGACAAAAACAGATAAAACTGTTGGAAATCTTGAACCAGGTAGACTGAAAAGTTTAAGAAAAATCGAGTGCAACTGCAGTTTGACATTATTCTAAAAACATGTGTAATTTAAATGCACCAACATGCTAGTTTACAAAACTCTGTTTTCTTTGGAGATAAAGATCTTTGCAATAATAAATGCACGATTTATCCGTAAAATAAAAGACAATAATAAATTGCACAGATGTTCAACATATTAAGCAAAAAGTATCTTTGTTTGCCTCTTTCCAGTGTGCTGAATTCTTTTAATTCATTTGTTCAACAATGAAATAAATTAAAGGGAAAATACTGAAAAACAAAACTGTGAAATTTAACAATAAAAATAGACTTGTGTTTAAGGAACCTACTACACGTTTAAAATATACACGGTGAATGAAGTAGGACAATCAACAACTGCTCTACAAGTTTCTTCCACAAGCTGCAGAACAAGATATAGGAGTATGTATTTGAATTGAACGTTATCTCAGAAGTATTTTTAATACGTAGTGCTTGATAGAAATTTAAATTATGATGAATATTAGATGAAAGGTTATTATATATGTGTAAGAACTGGTAAGCCGCTGTTTGTTAACATTTCTACAGTTTCTGAAATTTGTAAAGCCTTCTTTAACCGGACTGTGTTTGATGCAACTTACAACTTACATGTGGGTATTGTTCAGAGGGTGGATACTCATTTTGGAGCCGCTGTCACTGGACGTCCCTGTATTTTTTATTATACATTTGATATGTTGTATACTTTATGTTTTGTTTAAACATTCTTTGAATTTCAACAGCTGGTGATGGACAGTTGTCTGTCTAGTCACACTACATTTTAAAACTGAAATCATTAAACAAATGTTCTTTTTAAGGCAAAACTAAGAGCTTTGCTTTTTTGAGTTACACTGTCTAGTCAATAGTTAGTTATTCAGTTTTTCAACGCATGATCGTGTCTTCAAAAACAAGTATCTTTAAAATATATAATGTTATATATATACGAATAAAAACAGAGATTTATAATACCTTATAAAATACTTTTATTAAAACTATTCATACTTAACTATTCATTACCTCTACAAAATGTTCGCAAATTGTTTACTACAGAATAATTGTTAACATAGTGAAAACATACCTTGTATAAACATTTTTCACTCTTGCATTGCTACAGAAATGAGGTTCCTATATAAGAGAACAGAAAACGGCAATAATACTAACACAATGGGAATAGATTTAATTTTTATTTATTTGTATGATACTTAAAAATTATGTCATTGCGCTTTTTAAGTGTCAACTAAGCCAGATAATTTACAAGTAACAGATGTTACAAGCCGAAGCTTTCTTATAAATTGGGATAAACCTATAAACACGTACAGTGCTGAGAATTACGGATATGTTCTGCAAGTTAAGGATGATAAAGGTGCTTGTAAGGAAGAGGTCCTTTACAAATGTTCAGACTGTGAAGGAAGTTTTCAGGTAACACATTTAATGGATGACTTATTTATGGTGTTTAATTTGACATTCCTTATTTGTAATAGTTTCACTTACATTTTACTCAACAGGTTTCAAGGTAAAACGTTTAAATAAGAGTGGCTGATTAACACACATGAAATTAACTTATCCAAAATGTTACGTCATTATTCCGTTCAAGCAAAACACATTAATTCAAAGAAAACAAAGTCAATTAATTAACCAGAAGTAATTTAACCTAAGATATAATATATTATTAAGTTTAAAAAATACCAGATAATGATATATGAATAAGGACATTATATGTATGTTTATATTTTTAAAATGTAAAAGTCATTTAACTCAACTTAATAATATCTTATATACAATTTCGATCCATTTTAGGTTGCAAGTGTTTTTCATTTTTTTTTTTTTTCATTTCAGGTTTTTTCCGAACTTTTAGGATTATGCGATCAGAATAAGCAGCCTGATTTCACTATAAGTAAAGCTCAGTTAGCAAGCCAATTGTCATATAATGCAAGTCTTAATCCAGATACAAACTACACTGTGACTGTTACAGCAATAAATGATGAAGGGAGAGGTCATCCTGCCACAGTGACTCAAATAACAAATGAAGAAGGTATTTGCCTACATATTAAAAATGTACAATACAGTTGTCTTTGCAAACACAATAGCAGAAAATATTCCTGCAGGAAAACTTTTAAAACATTTTAAAATGATATAACAGCTGCAAAACAAGTCAATTGTTATTGAAGATAAAAGAAAATTAGTATTACTTATATATTTCTAGTATGATAATTCAGAGTTATTTGTTACAGCAAGTATACGTTGTACTTTAGAATGACATGTATTTATATTCCTCTGTTAGAACTATGGTGCTACAAATTATGTAAAGTGTTAATGATTAGCAATATGAAAAACGTGTTCATGTAATGATTGGCTGTTCTTTCAATGGTGATCTGTTGAACTTGAATCGAGCATTATTAAAGATCTTAGATACTATTGCTATAATTTCTTAATGTGTCAGATTCGTTAATATGATAATGTTTTCACTTCTTCCTCAAAAGAATGTCTTATATATAGTTGTACCATCCATCAAATATATGACACAATAATTTGGTGAAACTACACTTCGCTTTAAAATAATTTAAAGCAAACAGTTATTGCTAATGAGAATAATATCAACTCCATAGTATTATCATTAGTCTAAGTGACTGTGGAAAAAGTAATTAGATTTTTAGTTTTATTTTGCTTTACAGTTGTATGAATTAAGCTGATTTAACTTTATTACAAGCAAATGCACAGGTACTCACCAGTTTGCTAGGTATTAAGTATGGTTTATTTATATTTACAGTTCCCCAGATTCCATATGATGTTAAAGTTGTAGGTAAGAATGCAACATCATTTGACTTGACATGGAGTATAGATGGACCAAGACCGGGACAGACAAACTATTTGATAATGCTTGAAGCAGATGCTCCTGCAGAGTCAAAGAACTTTACGGCTACCGGTAACTTTTGCTTTATTAACATTTCTCTCAACCATTTCGTTGTCATTAAATGTTTATCTTTATTCGTATATTTGATATCTTATCCTTTAATTCTGAATTATGTTCAGGGTTTGCTTTGAGGGAATACACAGCATATGGACTACAGGAGTTTTGGAATTATAGCGTCTCTGTGATTGCCAGTACATCAATTGGTAGAAGTAAATCAACAGTGTCAAATAAGTACAGGACCTTGCCTGCAGGTAACTTTTACACACATGTAATATTTCCCATCCCATAAACGAAATCGAGAAAGTACAGTTTTGAAACTAGTTTGCCTCTAAATATGGTACATAGGTTTGTTTAAAAGAATATTTCATCAAAGTTGTGTATTGACGAATGAAGATATAGTACTTTTACATCTAGGTATTTTTTGTGTTTGACTTATAGCACCTGGCAAAGTTTCCGAATTTTCTGTAGAACTTCATCCTGATGGAGACTTTACGAAAATAAAGATATCCTGGAAAATGCCGACTGTATTAGAAAGAAATGGGGTCATCGAAGGTTATCGTTTTGAAAACTCTGCACCAGGGGTATGGTTGTACATATAATATTTGTAACAATATTTGTGGTCGTCAAATACTGTTTGCTCAAAGTTATTAGAAAAAAGGGCTACACATTTTTGTGTATGATATTCGGCGTGTTCAGCAAACCGGTTGCTTTTTTACTTTTGTTTATATTCATTTATATTAATTGGTTTTGTTACTTCAAAGATACTGTTGAAAGAAACACACGTTTAGTATTATCATAAATTTCTGAAGATTTTGAAAAGTAAACATTTAAACATCATTCGTCATATAAGAAACAAATGTACAATGTTTCATGAAACAGTAATTCCGTGTTACGGTATATCATCGAATGTTTTGGGTTTAACTTATTTGATGAACGTTATTAACGATATATATATGTAAGGATCAAAGCCATTGTTCCTGCATTTTCCTTAAACATATTACATCCCCATGCATTCATTCAAAATATATGTGTAGTAATTTTTTTTTGTTTGTTTAAGAATGTGACAGCAACAACAAATTTCCTACAGAATAATTTTGAAGATTATCTTTACAAAATAACAGTATATGTAGTGCCAGAAGAAGAATATACATTTAAGGTAAAGGAACTGTGAAAATATCATTTAAAAAAAAAGAAAAAAAGAAAAAGAATACAGTCATATAAGTAAATCCAGTGGTGTGTTTTGCCCGTCAAATCCTTTAATTTAAGCTTAACAACTTTAATGATATTAAATTTTTATTACGATACATTGTAATGGGACCTATTTGTTTGTTTTAAAAGAATTAAGGTAAGTAAGAGTTCATGAAAACAATTGTATCAAATACCTCTTTACAACTATTAAAAACATAACTCCAAAGAATTTATTTTAATTAAGAACTATTTAGTCAAATTATTTCGAGGATTTAAAACTGTTTTATTGATACATATATCAAAGAAATATTGCGCTCCATTATTTGCATTAAACTTTTATTGTTAAGAGAAGGAATATTTTAATTATTATTTCATTTAAAAAGAATTATACTAAAGATATATACCATCAGATATATACCATCAGATGATTTCAAAAAAATGTCATTTTTGTTATCGGAGAAATAAAGGGGTTAAATCACTTCCAAGAAAATTTCTATACATATATCTATAGAATTATTGTTTCATATTACATTTTCTCTTGCTATCAATGAAATATTGGTTACAATCACTTGAAAACAATATTAAGACTATCGAGTTGGTTATATTATATAATTGTTGATGTTCAAAAATAAGTTTCTTATATTTGATTATAAATGGAAAAGAAACAAAAAAAGGAAAAGGAGGGCTGGCTTAAGTTATGTTTTGAATACCAATATTATACGTTTGTAAAGTATAGTGTGCATATAAATAATATCAAATAATTTCGGATATTTATTTTATAGGCGTATGCTATAAATGAAGATCAAATGAAAGGAGAACATATTATGGTTACACAAGTTGCTCCAGCAGGAGGTTTATTTAAATTTTTTATCTATTTCTTGGTAACTTTCAACTTTTGAATCCTATGTTTCGATTGATTTTGTTAAGTCAGAAAATAATTAAGATCATTGCCAAATGCCAAATAGTAGTCTGAAACTTTAAAAAGTGAATTGTTTAATTCCTTTAAAGATAATTGAGTGACATGTTAAGTAAATAATGTGCAGTTGTTGTTGCTAACGTTATAATGATTATTACTATTCTGATTTATTGTCTCTTAAAATTGTCATTTTGTAGAACAATAACCATTTAGCATCTTGTTGAAGTAATTTAATTCCACATTTTAAAGAATAACATTGTAAAAGAACTGTATACGATTCCTTTTATATTATATAAACTATAATTTGCTGTAGTAAATACAGTAAAAGAACTTTTATTTAAGTTCCTACAAACATCGAAGAAACTCTAAATATTGCTGTCATCGCATTACAACGGGAAAAGGCTGTCGGTGAAAGACAAATTACGCTTACATTAGTCCGTGACTTTTTTGAAGAGTCAACAAATGGCAAAGTACAAACCACTGGTCTTATTGTGTGTATTAACAACTGCGACCTTGACGGTAAAATGACACTGTTGATAATCTTCATCATTTTATTTAAGAGGTTTGAAATTGTTAAGAAGAATTTGCAGAATATCAATTTGAAATGTAAATTCATGAATTTGTATCAGATACTAAGTTACAACTTTGATTATTATTTTTAAATATTGCATTACTGCATAGTTCAACATTTGGTTTTAAAGGACAATCATAGTGTCTTAAGAGTAAATGGGGTGCAAACGAGTAAATTGCTTTACCTAAGATAAATAATATTGACATTCAGAATCGTTTATAAGAAAGCTTATTTTTGACTTGTCTCATGATAAAGATGCAATCGTATTTACGTTTGATTATTAGCGCCAGTATTTTGTAGGCGATGTGAAAATAACCGATGTGAATGCAATGGAAAATTGGGCGGAATCATCAAAAAAAGGTTTGACGTCATATAGAGCAACAACTCCAGAATGGCTGGATGAAGTACATACTCAATGTGCATGTGGTATGCTGTAGAATTGCTTATTATAATAAACTAAGATTTCAATATATATCTAAATTCAAGTAGTTTAGCAGTCCGTACACTTATAGCTCGTGTAATGTATAAACATGTCACTGATGCTGAAATTATATCGAAAAAGTTTTTTACTAGATAAACTTAAAAGGCTCCTACAAATATAAATGCAGCTTAAGTTTAGCATTTTAAAATACTTTCTGCATAACTTGTGACTTTCTAAATAAGTTAAGGACATAAAGAGTATCAATTGACGATTTGAAACTTAAATCAAAACGCTGAAGAATTTTCATAATAATATATTAGCTAAAATATTATTCTCGAATATGATACATGAGACTATAATTATGATTTTTCTGACTTCATTTTACCCTTTTTAGGCCGCAGATTTAAATTACGCATTTTCTCTATAATTTTTGTCTTATCTGAATATTAATGTGAAAGCTGTCTACGTTTATATGATAAATAAGCGCGAACACATATATAGTACATTGTTATCATGGTTTATTTTAGGAAGGAATAGACGGTGAGTGACAGGTATTGAGTACCTTGTTATATTATTCATTTTTAGGAAGAAATAAACGGGAATTTGCGAATATTAAACACATTGTTATGTTTTACTTTTAGGAAGAAATAAACGGGAAGTAACAAATATTGAGTACATTGTTGGCAATGAGGATTGTACAAATGTCTCGCCAGATGAATTTTGTAATGGTCCACTTCAACCTGGGACAAGTTATAAGTATTAGACTATGTTTATTGCAACCTCAACATATGTGTTATTTCATTAGATATTAATACTGCGATAATTGATGGAAAGTTCATAATTGTTATACATGTATAATTCTATCAGGTAAAAGGTTTTTTTTGTAATGTGTGTACAATGCTTGGTTATTTGTTTACAGGTTTGTAGCATTTAGCTGTACAAATGGGGGATGTCTTTTAAGTCGACAGTATGGACCTTTTACAACAGCTAAAGCAGGTAATACTTTTGACATTAAATGAGATCTAAATAAAATACAATACTGGTATATAAGTAATAATATAATTTCAATAACGTTTTACACGATATGGATTTTTTTTGATAATTTAAACCACATTTTACAAGTTTTTGCAAAATTATTTAGATGCATACGAAGCACTGTTTAAGTCAGTATTTCAGATTACAAAATTTTCGGTGGAATGTGAATATAAAATCACACTGTCATTTTCTCATATTTGCGTATCAACAAGGTTTTTCATAAGAAGTTTTATAAGAATTTTCTTATGTCAGTTTAGAAGTGTTTATGCTAGTCCACTTAATACTATGGGAAAACATATGATATGCTCTTATAATTATGTATATTAAATTGATTTCCTTATTAGAAAAATAAGTCGCATTTTCTTTTTTGAAACATCAAACTTCAACATATTACATGTTTGCTGTTTGGATTTAGAAACGCTTTCCTCTGATTCCTGTTCTGACAGCACACACGCTGTCATCGTTGGAGTTGTACTCGGTCTGGTTATTGTCGTTCTTCTAGTATATGCTGGTTATATGACTTATCTAGTCAGGAGGTACAGGACTAAAGGTAGGATATACACATTTTCATTATATCTTACAGAAATAGCTTAAAAAATGGATAGATAGAGCATATGAGTGATTAAGACCATTTTTAAATATACATGTGGGGCGTCCGTGGCCGAGTGGTTAAGGTCGTTGACTTCAAATCACTTGCCCCTCAACGCTGTTGGTTCGAATCCCGACAGGGACTTTGGATTATTTCATGTGAGGAAGCTATCCAGCTAGCTTACGGAACGTCGGTGGTTCTACTCAGGTGCTCGTTCGTGCCTGAAATAATGCACGGAAGGGCACCTGAGGTCTTCCTCCACCAGTAAAGCTGGAACGTCGCGATATGACTATACTGTGTCGATGTGACGTAAAACCCAAAACATACCAAAAAAAATATACATGTATAATTATAATTAATGATCAATGAAAGGTATGTCTGTATCAGAAAATAACACATAATACAAGACTAAGTGTAAAAAAAATACTTCGTCATACTGCCTCGTTATCAAGATATAATATTTATGATAAAACACTAAAATTGTGTGAACGTTAACCTGAAAAATTATAAAAAGTAACACTGTTAGTTCACTCGATGCATTAAGATACCTGTTTCGCCAAATAAAAAACGGAATTCAAATTAAGGTTAGTTTTTCATCTCATAACATAACGGTTCTACTCGCGATTGGGTGCTTGTTAATGCCTGAAATAAGCTAGAAAGTCACCGTTTAGCAATTAAGTCCAACAAAGCCAGCCAGCAAGCAAACAAACACTATACGAATCGAAAGGTCATATTTAGAAAATGAAACTTGTCGTATTAATCACATGACATATTGAAAGCTGTGTTTAATTCTTTGTTAAATGTGTATACGTAATTCTTTCCAGATGAACAAGAAATAAAACTTGACAATGGGTAAGTTAAGTGTAAATTATACTTTTAATGATGAGTGACTAGTGCATAATTAAGTAACATTATACTTACGAATGCAGACAGACGTGTCTATGCATATACGAGTATTAATATGACAGTCTTAACTGTTTATCAATTACATTTTTAACACATGAAATAAAATTATGCTAAATGGTTTACAAAATTAGCTAAACCGACCTATCTTACAAATTATGGCTTATGCAAAACACTCGTTCTGATTTCAGAAGAGATCGTAAGAGTCAAACATATGTAAATGAAACATTTATGACCGGTTCAGCATCAAATACATCGGGAAACTTTAACGTTGATTCAGGAGTTGAGAACGTATATTCCAGACTCGATGACAATGCAAGAGAAGACAAAACAACATATGAAAGTCTTAAACCATGATCATAACACTATTTGTTCTTAGCGCAAGAAAAAATTCTCAGCTTTTCTTCATATACTATAAACAACTGTATATTATACCAATTTGGATTGGGTAGCTGGTGAATATGACGTGATATGTACTGAAAAAAATATTTACCTAGTAGGCGATAGCTTGTTTACTTTTTCTATAAATTTGTCTTTTAAATGAGCGCATTAGCACGCGTATTCGTATAGTTCTTAAAAATGTAAAGACGGTAACTAGAATTAGACTAATTTGACTCAAAGATTATCTAAGAGTCATTTAACTTAAAAGTGTTGTTGTGGTTTGTTTTTTTTCCCCAGAATAATAACAACATTCTTGGCGCGACGTCACGCCATAGTCTCGCGTCTCTCAGGGGATTTCCAAAAAATATATTTTGAGAAGAAAAACCGAAAATCTATTTTTAGAAAAAAATCGATATTGACCTGTTTTTTTACAAAAAGATGTTTGTAAGCCAATCAGGGAAAGGCATTTTAAAGCTATTTATAGATTATATATGAGTGCTTATTTAAAAAAAAAATTGTATGCTAATTTGATGTTTCATATTATTAAAATAAAATATTCCATTCGACTGCGCTCTTGTCAAAACGAATAACACAGTAAGAAAACGAACCGAAATGTTTTATTCTAAATGAAATTTTAATAGATGAATTAATGCATACGACATTATACTTTAACGACATTATACTTTAAACTTTTGTGTTCGTCAAAGAAATACAAATGTATGTACATTTAACACATTTAAAACTTTATTTTTTCATATTCTGTACACCTAAGACATTAATTTTGTCAAAGTACAAGTGTCGTAAAACAATATAAGAAAGCTGGTAAAATAAGATTTGGCTACTTTTAATGAGATAACCGCCCTTACTTTAGTGTTTCATTCACGATTTCGGCGTTACCTCGTAAAAATTGTCTCACTTACGTTTTATCTGCTAATTTCAGTGTTATATGACACGAGTAGATTGAAAAATGTCTCAAGTAATATGTACGTTATTGTATCTAAAGAAACTAAAAATCGCCATCAATACGCTGTTCAATACGCTTTCGTCATTTTCGTGAATGATCTTGAAAAATAAACATTTCATAGAACATGTTCGATGAAGTTTAAAGTATAATCTCTCAGCAATCGTATATGCAAACTCATTTCTTCCAATTTGGTAAACAATCAAAAATATTGGTCCATTTACTTATCGCTTTAGCCACTAGATTGCACAATTCTGCGTTACTTTATCACAATGCCTGCGTTATTTGCACATTCCTGTGTAACTGGATATGCACGGTGTTTACAGACTCAATCTATTTTCATGTAATTTTTTTGTGATAAATGCTTCAGAAGGATTGCAAATTTTTGGTTTTATACAGTTACAGTAATTATTGATATGTAGTTATTCTATAATAATATTAATAATTTGTTCTATTCAACCAGCATGACATATTTATATATAACATTTATATTTAACATTTTGTTTGATTTTGAAACACGTTTAGAAATTATTACAGTGCATTTCTTAATTTCGCAAAAAAAAGTAAAAAAAAAAAGTCAAACAATATAAAAGTTATTTCTCTGTGTTTTATTATATTTATACTCGTATATATTGTTTATATTTCTCAATTTGTAAATTGTAATATTGGCAATCTAATGATGAAATCAGATGGAAATGTTTTTGTTTGGGAAAAGCTGTGCTGACATAGTAAAACCAAATATGACTCATTATTATTATAGAAAAACAAAATTATTTCTTAGATTAGAAAAACAATACATTTATGATGTCAAATGAAATGTTCAATACATATCAAAAAATGTTAAAAAGAGAGTGTTAAAATGTACTATTAAACATCGGAATTTAATCTTAATATAAATTATCAAAGGAACTTCACTGAGATCCAATAGGCAATATTTTAAAAATTGAAAATCTTTCTTAAATTTAAGTGAAAAGCTTTGCAACGGATTTCATTTTCTTTTTGTGGCAATGTGCACAATTAAAAAAATTATTTCTACGAAACGGAGTGAGTTAATGATATGAAATTTTGTTCTATGAATTATTGGTCTAGACATACATCTAGTTATACAAAAATCTTAAAGTCAAAACACCTCAATGGAGTCCCTTTAATATATGAGGAGAATGTTATCTATAGATAAATATTGATGCAAACATATCATTAAATATACTGGCGTTTTATGAATAAAATAAGACAGCAAATCTTGTTTAAATTACTAGACCAAAACCTAGATGGGTTCATGTTACCATGCAATATCACATTACTGCTGGGTTTTCTAGTGTAAGATAATATTCAAGGTTACATGTATCAGATTTATTTACTTTAAAGTGGTTTTGCACCGTCCAAAATATATTTTAAAATGTTACAGATATAAATTTGTCTCTCTTCGGTCTTCCCTATGTGTTATTGTATAATATCATCTTCATCATCTGCATCATCATATGCATCTTAATCAATATCATTATGATTATTAATAGTATTATTAGTTTCAAACGTTAAGTATTTATATGATTTTGTCTATAACAAAAAACAACAACATTTATTCTAAATATTTTATTTACTGCGAACCTAATTTTTTAAGTAAGCCGTTTATGTATGAATTAAGATAGTCGATTTACATATGATCACATGTAGGCATTAACATTTTAATTGAATTATCAAGTATCCTAACACACGGGGGAGAATCACGCCGTTCGTTACCCAAACAAACAAGATGGCGGATGCAGCCAAAAAGTAGGGTTTTTCCTTTTTTCTCTGAAATTCGTGATGTTCTGATGTTAAAGTACATATAACAACCTTCTCCACAATTTCCTGGCACACAGGATTTGATTTCATGATGTTTTGTCCCGTACTTCTTCTGAAATGCGCGTCACCAGATTCGAAGCGAGAGAATTTTCCACCGGTTTGATCGTGGTAACGTACGGCTTCTTTCCTAAAATTCACTTTTTCGTTTACATATATGTATATTAACAGAAACCACTGACTTTAAAAAGTTGTAATATGTCGTCATCTAAGCATTCATGCCCATTCTGGCTAGAATAACCGCTGAAAATATTAATATCGGGGCATTTTCTGGAAATGATAACGTATGGCGCACAAAATATCAATGATAACGTACGGCGCATTTTTTTCTGCTTAATTTTCTTTATAATAGAAACGTTATGTTTACAAGACATAAAAGGATGTGTAGAACAAAATTAAATAACTGAAATAAATAATATTAGTGTCCAGCTTTATTTGTCATCCGTTCATAGCAGCCTTTTATTTTTCATAGTGCTTCATAGAACCGCGTTTGTGCAAATGGACATAAGGGACTTGTGCAAAGTGACGATATTAAATTAACATTAATGAAGCCAAATAAAGTTTGACACTAAGTATGTTTGTATTCATCGGTAGCTGTTCTACAGAAAAAAGAAATATTCTCCGGTCGCTATCGCTCCCGTCGAAGTTTCTAATTTCTGTAGAACAACACGGATGAACACTTACATATACTTCTTAAACACTAGTTTAAGAGTAGCGTAATAATCTTTAAAACCGTTCTTTCATAAAGATAATGACGTCATCTAAGCGAATGAACGGTCTGGCATTAAAGGTTTCAGACGGGTTTTCCGGCATGGATAAAAACATCGAAATCCAAATTCGATTTGAAACTTTATAATTAACACTAGAAATTAATAAGCAAGTTCCAATGTCACTTTTTTATTGCTGATACCTGCAATACTTTTTTTAAAGAAATTATTGTTTTTGTTGGGGCGTTTGTGGGAAAAAACGCCAGAATATGATAGGCAAATTCTTGCATGTAATTGTTTTGATCAAATTATGACGTTCCTTTTATTTACAATTATGAAATCCTCAATTGATGCGAAGGGACCTTCATTTTTTAGGATATGTGTATAAACATACGGTAATTGCGTTTATGTGTTGAAAATCGATTAATATACAACAATTTTGCATTAATACTTCATGTATGTTTTTTGTATGTATGTACATGTAAATGTGTGTATGTATATGTAAATACAAGAGACCTATAAGTTACTGGTTTAAAGATCAATTTTGAAAATGTTCATAATGTAACTCCTGAAGAAAATTTCGGCTGGTATTTGCTTTATCAATCAAAATCTTCTCCAAACCTTTTCATGATTTTTGATATTATGTTTATATAAACTGTTCGTTATTGTGCATGTTTTATGTCCACATCGGCTTTAAAGCCTATTGGAATAAAATAAAATGTCTACTGTCTACTATAATAAAAAAAAACTGTAAGGCTATGTCGCGTAAATATATCTGACATCATTGTGGCACAACGTCACGCTAAATGGTAGCGTTTCAATATTAACCACCCGTCAAATAAACAGAAAATTTCTTATTTACTTAATTCATTGAAGTTTTTCGAATAACATTATTTTCTAACTCATTGAATAATTTCATTATAGAACCTACACTCATTCATTATTTTTCTTTCAATGAGCGACCAGATTGAATAAACACAGGCTCATCTCATCTGGGAGTAAGCTAGTCCCAATCAAAGTTCGTTTTGTAAATGTTTGACGGGTTCAAATATTAAGATTTCCTTATCAGAAATTTGTTAGGAATGAATTTAAACTTTTTCTTTGGAAAAGAAAATATATCAAGCCGTCCGAACCTTTTTAACATTTTTGCTCTGCTGAATGCGTTTCTTCTTTCCGATAGGGGATAAGACCATAATTATCGCACATGACTGGCGAAATTTAATGTGAAGACAACACTACACAAATGTTTCCTGAAAGTGGAGGCTTTTCTTTCCATTCTGCATTTTATACAAAATATTCTCAAACTATACACGTGTGTTTTAATTGGTATATTAACAACGCATATCTATTATTCCACCAGCTAGAAAGATATTTATATCCGATGGTACAGCATTGTTCAATTAATTATTTCTGACCTGACCAACATTTTTTTCAGATATCTATCATTTCCTACATAAAAATAATTCATTATCAGCTGATTGGACAAATGGAAATCCAGCTAGTAGTAAAATGCGCCGTACGTTATCATTGATATTTTGTGCGCCATACGTTATCATTTCCGGAAAATGCCCCGATATCAATATTTACAGCAGTAAATCTAGCCAGAATGGGCATGATTGCTTACTTGACAACATTTTACAACTTTTTAAAGTCAATGGCTTCAGTTAATATACATATATGTAAAAGAAACATTGAATTTGAGAGAAAAAGCCGTACGTTATCACGATCAAACCGATGGAAAATTCTCTCGCTTCGAATCTGGTGACGCGCATTTCAGATGAAGTACGTGACGAAACATCGTGAAATAAAATCCTGTAAGCCAGGAAAATTGTGGAGAAGGTTGTTACATGTACCTTTACATTAGAACATCACGAATTTCAGAGAAAAAAGGGAAAAACCTACTTTTTGGCTGCATCCGCCATCTTGTTTGTTTGGGTAACGAACGGCGTGATTCTCCCCCTTGTAACACTATTATACTCGACGAGGGAGATACAGGTATTTGAATGTCGACCCATATATTGCACATCAGTAGATTATAATCATTTAAAGCAGCACAAAAATAGATGGGTAGATGTATTTTCTGAAAAATAAACAAACGTTCAAAGAAATATGTTGTAGATGAAGAAATATAAACATTTATTCTCATTGGGTTGAACATTGAAATTATGACAAATTTTATGTTTTATCACTAAAATACTATCCACTGGTAAACGATGTATTCGCACAAGTTTAAGTTAATTTCAACAGATATTTCCTAAGCCTCAAAATGTGTATACCTGACAATGTTTATTTACTTATTAGAACAATTTTGAAGTTTTTGTAAAACTTCACAAATAAGGAGGCGTGCTGCTTTAAATGCAAATGAGCCGCGTCACGACAAAACCAACATAATGGGTTTGCGACCAGCATGGATCCAGACCAGCCTACACATCTGCGCAGTCTGATCAGGATCCACGCTGTTCGCTATCAGTTTCTCTACTTGTAATAGGGTTGGTAAGCTAACAGCATGTATCCTGATCAGACTGCGCGGATGCGCAGGCTGGTCTGGATCCATGCTGGTCGCAAACCCATTATGTTTGTTTTGTCGTGACGCGGCTCAAATTTACACCAGTGTTGCATACATCCTAATTAAAATGTAGATTCATAACCACAGTGCTCAAGTTTCATTTACGTATACTAAATGTTTTTTAACGTGTTCAAGTTATAAATTCTGAATTTAGGTATACAATAAGGTGCAAATAAGGGTGTATGAAAGCTATGTGGACTGTTGTGACATTATTTTGTTTATTGTTGTGTTTTACAGGTAAGATTGTTGCTTGACAACTTTGGTTTTTTAATTGTTTGTAACTTGTTATGTCTAAAAAAAGATAGTTATTAATTAAGTACTAATAATGTCGAATATGGCTTGACAGCTGTATCCTGTATTCCTGCATCATATCTGAGGACTTTTTGCAAGATATATTTGCAAAAAAGAGACAAGATTTGAAGAATAAATGTTGATAGTCTTATTTTGAATGTACAACAAGGGAACATTAAGATTATTGAATAATAATTCCTATGAAAGTTTGTGCCTTCTATATAGCAGTCATTGAATTACTTGATAATGCTGCCCTTGATTTTGCCTTTTAAAGCATACGAGCATTGTGTGTAAAGAGGTAATCAAGTAACATAATAATATTGAACACTCTTCATTTAATATTACCTGAATATCAAAATGTAAACTAAGTAGTATTTAGACTTGAATTCCATAGAAAATACTAGAATACGCAACAGAAGCAATAGATGGCACAGGTAATCAGCTTATGTGTATCATTTTGGAAATTATTACATGACACGAAAATGATTTTAATCATTTCACTAGTAAACTATATAATCTGTATGGAAATCAAATTGGGACAAAGCCATATAATAAACTCCATGATATCGGCCGCTGTCTTGTTGTATAACCTTCTCTGCCTCAAATAAACCGTTCTCATTAGGTAGTTGTTCTTAGATGCCGAATTGGACTTACTGAAGATATAAACATAGGTGATGATGCTCAATTTGATATATTTTGCAATAAAAACTTCACTGCCAAACATTTCATTCACTTACTGAACTTTGTGTCACAGTTCCAGCAAAACTGTGGTGATTTCTAATTGGTGATAAACTTGTATTGTGAGATCTAGCTAGCTGATTGTATAAACAAACTTTTCAGTAAGAGCATGATGTAATAACTGTGTTTACTGAAGCACGTATTTATTTTTAATTACACACCTCCTCTATTGTTTGTGACATATTTTGAAAGACCTGTTTACACAAAAGAAAATCCGTTATGAGGTATATCTTTTGCACGTGCAGAGGTCTGGTATTCCCGCCAGAGAGACCCGGTCATGTAAAACACGTGAAAACTAGGCATGCCTATGCGTAGATTAATCAGAAATAAATGCAAACGATTTTATAATATTACTGTCTTTAAAAAAATCTGAAGACAAATTAAACACGATAATATTTATTGAATGCACTTAGCAATTATTCCATCATCCATGTATTGAATTGTTTAATAAAAATACTAGACAGCACATCAAAGTTAAAACAATTTAAAAATTTATTTAATCAAGTCATTTTTTAAAGTAATAGTAGTCTAAGCGGTGCTTCTGGCATTAATTAAGTTTACGGTATGACAAAAAAAATGGACGATTCAAGCTCATTTTTGTGTCGACTTGAAAATCTGAAAACAAATTAAACACGACATTGTTTATTGAATTCACTCCTGTATTGAATTTTTGAATAAAAATAATGGACAGTACATCAAAGTTAAGACACATTTAAGGTTTATTCAGTCGAGTCATTTTCTAAAGTCATAATAACCTGAGCGGTTCTTTTGGCAATAATTAAAAGCACAGTTACCATATCATTACGATTGTATATCACAACATCCATAACATCTTAAACGTTCTAGAAAATTCTTAGAACATAAAAATTGTACAAAAAAAACATCGAAAAAATATAACAAAAATAATTATGTCAGTTTAAACACCTTTGTGATCCAAAATAATATTAGATATACGCTTTGCATTGGAAACCTACACTATCAAATTGAAGGTGTGGGGTTATGATCACTCTATAAAATTCAGGTGTGGGCTTTTGATGTGTGGGGTTTTGTCCTATATTCATTTAAAACTATACACACTGTAGGTGGTCACAATATCATACATTATATCATTTTAAATACCAACTTTAATTGACCTAACACCCAGCTGCCTAAACACATTTTATTCAATATTTTATTCAAATTAGACATATCCAGTAAGAATTTCATAGATTTCAATAAATGTATGTGATTAAAATATTTTACTCAAGGATGAGCATAGTACATCTTTAATTATCATTATTTACAGGAAAAGAGAGTTAAACGCAAGATATTAATTTTGTTATAATTAAGCAGAACGTTGATAAAAGTTATTTACCTGTATAAATAATCTTTGAGCGTTATATCAAATGCTCGGATCAGCCATTGCTCAAGCCAATAGTTTGACGGTGTGTTAGTTGGATATCGGCCTCGTACATCGATCTTTCTGTTTAGGAAAGACCTGGTCACGAATTTCATGAAACACCTCGAGCGCCACGGGCTCTTGATGTCACATGAAATTCGTGACCAGGTCTTTCCTAAACAGAAAGACCTCGTACTCGGTTGATATACTATACATACAATACTCAAAATGTTAATGTTTGTTTTGATTTTCTATATTCTTAGCAACAAATACAGTTCATGGAGGCAGATATATTAGAGAATCAGCAAACCTTGAGCCCGGAAACTGGAAAAGTTGTAAAGAGGTAATCAAGTAACATGACGATATTGAACAATGAATGTTGCACATCCTTCATTTATTATTTGTTTATAAGTATTTTCCAACTCACCGTTTATATATTGTTTCGAAATTAAGTTATGTGTTCTTTTGAATTATTTGAGGCATCAACTGCTGCTACAGTTGCAACGCTTTATATTACTTAGATTCTCAGTCATTAAGGATGGCATTTGTTTCCAAAAACTATTCGCAGTATTAAAGTGGCATTATGCCAATTCAAGAGTATATAGGGAGTCAACAGGTGAAAGTCAAAATATGTTCACATTTTGCAATAATTCCTTTAAATTTTACTTCGAATGAAGGTAAGTAACTGATGTGGCCCAATAAAATGTGTGTAAATATTCATTTGAATTTACATGTAACATTCAATTAATGAGTTGTAAAGTCTTTTTATATCTTAGGCAAATATATATTTTATCCTGTTGATCTCTTACCATTGTAACAGTCAATCTTTTGAAATACATAGTCAATTCAGCTCTACTTGACTGTGAAAAAGGGAGCATAATGTCACTCAATATCGAATAAGGTTTTCACAATAACACGTAAATACTGTCGATCTTATATATAAACAATTTGATTTATTTTCAATTCTCACATGCATGCTTGAAGTCACAATATGCTTCATTTATGCATGTCGTACATATTTTCTTTTTTATTATTCCATTCTTACTGTATACATAAACATTACAATGCCTAAGTAATTTGTCAGTCCTTGTCACTTTTCAAGTATACAGTTATTTTCCTAGGGAACTTCACCACCAACCCGGGTTGACACAGTCGAAAGAGTAACGAGACTGAGAAGCCACTTTGCTGATGCTGGAATACAGGCATACATGATACCAAGCGCAGATGCTCATCAGGTAAATAAAATAATAGTTGATAGTTTTGAGCAGCATGTCTGTCTAGCCGTTGATTCTATTTAGACTGAAAAATCGAAGGACTTATTCCTTGGTCGATGGATGTAATCTAATTTAGACAGCTAGTGTAATTGTGTGTCACACTGAAAAGATGCATAAACGAAAAAGTTCTCTCTGTACCTTTACAATCGTTCATTGAACTATAGTTGTTTTGTCTTCTTCTCAATCTCCGTTGCATGCTCAAGTTTAAAACAATCAAGTGTTGCCTTATTTTGTATCAATAAGGCCATATAAAATTGACTATAAATGCAGTTGAATGCATGTAATTGAGTTCCTCCTGACTGTTTTAACCCTGTGTGTTATTTATATATTTTTCAAGAGTGAATACCCATCTCAATACGACAAAAGAAGAGGCTTCATCACGGGGTTCCAAGGATCGGCAGGTATTTAACCTGTTAGATACTCGTACAATGTAGATATACATGATATCATTGTATAAATAGCTTTACCACAGTCATTCATACCTGTTAATCAGAAAATATAAAAAATGTTTTAAGCTACAATTGCAAGAAAAAAATCCCTTAAAATCCATTCAGGTGAAATTTGCAGAAGAAAGAGAGCATCTCTATTCACACAAACCAAGAGTCGTTAAACACTATTACTACAACTCTTAACATTGAATCATAATCAAACTAAAAATGACAAATATTTGTATGAAAACCTTTGTACTTTTGATTTTGTTTTGCTCTATATATCTATATAGTCTTTCATTGACATTTCGAGACAATATATTTGTTGTTACTTAACAGGAGTCGCTGTCGTCACAACAAGCAAGCAAGCACTATGGACTGATGGTCGATATTTTCTGGAGGCCGCAGAGAGACTTGATTGTAACTGGATTTTAATGCGTCAAAGTAATTTACTAACTATGTTATGATACTACACTGTTTTTTTTTTTTCAACAATCTAGTCTTTGATTTGTTTGGTCAGTTCTACATGTTTTCTAAGCTTTTTCTCTACGTTCTATTCTCTAATTCGTGTTGGTCATGTCACTCCTCTATGCAACAGACAGTTGCTTCGAACGAAATTTCATGCTATGTAGTTTAATTGACATGTTTTGGAAAAATCACAATAAAAGCCCCTTTTCTAAAACAACAGCTTGACAATCAACATGTATATTCAATTGGTTAGTTTCATTTAATGAAATTTATTGTAATACTGCTTGTTACCCAAAATTTGACTTAGAAAGATATTTGTATATAAACATTGACCTTCAAAAAGACATAGTGACAATCAGTTTGTAAATATCAGAAAACGGTTTTCAGTTAAGGCTAAAATTTCGTCTGCCTGCAGTGCAAGTAGTGTTAATATTTTATGTTTAGGAAGATATCGACCGAGTACGAGGTATTTCTGTTTAGGAAAGACCTGGTCAAGAATTTCATGAAACTAAGAGCGCGAACTCTCAAATTGCTTTTTCGTATTTTTTTTATTATTGTCGCAATCAAAGGAATTGTTTTTAAATGCCTTGGATGAAATTATTGTTTAATTTGTTTATTTATCTTACATAATTTTAATACGTGTGACTTTTGAATTTAAATGTGATTTTAACATATTGAAAAAAGGCATAGAAAGAAGATAGGTTTCTTATTGCATTTAAACACTACAGCATAACTCCATGAAAAGCACAGTTTTATCCTGTGAACTAATCTTGTAGTGCATTTAAAAAGGAAAAGACTAGCGATATATCCAGAACATATCTGATTTAGGCATTCCATTTTCGATTCGTTCAATTCAATTTATTTTTTCCAGCTGATTTTTTATATTGATTGAAATAAAATCAACATTCAAATGTTTTTAATATGTGACAAGCTGTACTTTTGTAGGGGAAGCAGGTGTTCCAAATATTGTTGACTGGATAAAGCAAGAACTGAACAGCGGTGATAGCTTTGGAGCTAGTCCATTTCTGGTTGGAAGCTGTAAGTTGACAAAATAATCATGATGCATTCTTTTTATAAACATTATTTTTTATTCCAATATTTTATACGTTTACGATATCGATATTATAAAGACCTAATCGTTCGTTATTCAACCCACGTTATTGAAAACAAAAGGACTGTTGGTTCTTTTGTCGTTTAAAATATTGGCATACATGTACATGTATTTTTCATGATACTAAGAAAAATGTTTTAAAAGTCTCAATTTCTCTATAGTAGGTGAACTTGCCAGCCATTTTATTAGACACACGTTGACTGATTTTGGTTGAAATGTGAAATATTGATCTCACAAAATAACCAATGTTATTTTGATTAGTCATATGAAATGTTTGAAAGCAGCGAAAACTTCGTTTATTTAGTGATAGAAGCCCCGAATTTAAAGATATACATCGGGAATTCATTCAAATATTAATTAGCCATTACAGATTTGGTTTAAACCAAGAAAAGTACATATGACTAGTACTTTCAAACATTGTATACTTACACGAAAGACCTCTTCAAACTAATGATTAACATTTCAGCCGATTGGAAATATTACCATGATGAGCTTGCAAAAGGAGGAATAAATATGGTATCCGTAAATGACGAACTAGTTGATAAAATCTGGACGTCATCACAGGGACGACCAAATCAGCCTAGCACGCCGATAAATGTGTTGCCCCTACAGTTTTCAGGTATTGGGTTTTCATGTCGTGTATGATATAAAAAGTAATATGTAACACTGTGTTAAATTATAATTGTTTTGCAAAAAAATCTCATAACTCTATGGAAAGGATGGGCAATAGTGGTTACGAATGCACTTCATCCATTTTAATACAACAACTATTTAAACACCTAGAAGGAAGCAAAACAGTCAGGACAATAGTAATTTTTGTGACCGCTTTTACGTACAGTGGTCTTAATAGCGAGACTTTACTGTATTATGTTTTATAATTATTCTTGAAATACAGATACATATTTTTTCTCAGGTTTAAGGCTTTTATCCCATAGCAGACGACTATAATATTCATTGATTTATAAAATTATTTTGATTATCATGTAGAATATTTGACATCATTTGTATAATCAAGATACTAAAGGTGATTGTTTTGAATTAGTGCGTACCATATCAGAATAGAGCTTATGGTAACATATTCATATAATGTATTTAAAAGCAATGGGGTAGAGGGAGAACTGTTCAAATGCTGAAACTAAATGTAAGAATGACATATTTGGTGTTGATACATAAAAGTTGCACGGTCGTCATAATACCCAATAAGTATGATATTTATTCAATTAACATATTTAAATCAAATAATTTTAATAAACAGGACGCACGTGGCAAGATAAAGTAGACGACATGATAGCATCGATGGAAGATGAAAATGTTGACATGATGGTTGTCACTGGACTTGATGAGTCTGCATGTAAGTCGTCTGTTTAGTTCGCGATATTGTTACATAATGAAATAGATATTTAATTTTTATGGGGTTTTACGTAGCATCAATACAGTATAGGTCATATGGTGACTTTCCTGCTTTGCTGGAAGAGGACCTCAGGTAGTTATACTCAGGTGACCGTTCGTGCCTGAACTATTGTACGGGGACATCTGAGGTCTTCCTACGCCAGTAAAAGTGGGATGTCGCCACATGGCCTAAATAGTTTTGGTGCGACGTAAAGCCCAACTACAAAAATATAACAAAAATGAAAACAATGTTACAGCTTCCGTGATTTTCAATTCTATAATTTAATAACTGTTTTTGGTAACTGACGTCATTTTCAAATTCTACTAAGTTGAATGATTATTGTTATCTATATCACATTATCTAATTTATTGAAAACCTTTTCTTTTTATGCTAAATTTGACATCTTAGAATGGTTGTTGTTTCTTAGTCACCTTTATTTTAGATTAAATATATACAGTATATATAGTTAAATTTGATAGTAAAGTGTACCTATATGAGTAAAATATTGATTTAAAATATGTTACATAATATGTTATTAATTCAAATGTGGTCAAATATTTTTTCAGGGCTTTTTAACTTGCGAGCAAGTGACATACACTACAACCCCGTCTTCATTTCTTATGCAATTGTTGAAAAGCAAAGACTCACGTTAGTGCCTTTTATGAATAGGAAAATAAAAATGTAGCATTGCTTTTTAATTAAACAATCAGCAATGTATGTTTTAAATGCATTGCATCACCGATATGTAAATAAAGTCAATTGTGAAACAGTTAAAATAACATTTTACATTTAAATTTATGCATGAGGCCGATTTATACATCCACACAAAGTCAATGCATAAAAACCAAATACATATATAAATTCGTTATATCAAAATTGTAAAAGTCACCGAAATTAGTGTATACTTGAAAATGTCTATAAAATGCACGATTCTGACTTTATGATTGATGCATGTCGATAACTTTAAACCTATTTTAATCTATATAGAACTTCAAATCATCCAATGAAATCGCTAGATGTAAAAAATATTGATAATTCTTTCAAAAACAACGATTGTGTCTGAAATATATATAACTGGACACGATTGGTTTTCCTCCTAGCTTTATATTTAAATTTAGTTTTAGATGATGGTATCCAATCAAAAATTCTGAAAATCCTTTGACATGACACTGATATCATAAATTTGATATCATGTATACTGTAAGCTTAGATCTTTTATTACTTATTACGACATTTTTAATTAAGACATGTCTAGATAGTGAATCTACTTGTAGAATTCAATCTTCCCGTGACATTTGATCCAAATTGTCATGCATCACTTTGTTGATCTAGGTATTTTATGGCATAAGAAGCCGGGCACTTGCTGATAAATTAGTAATTACTAGCATGTTATTCAGGAAAGCCGGTTAACTTCACGTCAAGACATGAGCAAAACAATGTTTTCAAATCTGCTTTTAGCTAAATACACAATGAAATTAACAATACATTTATTATGCTGTCTGATTCACTCGTTTAATTCTTTTCAAACGTCATGTTTATTTGCATGTAAGTTAGTGGTGTTTTCCAGGCTTTACATACTAAATCATATTGCAAAGATAATAGCTGAACCAACTGATGTCGCTTCAACAGTAACAGTAGCTGGACATCTCAATACAAATAACGACGGAACGTGTACTGATAAAGTTGGCAAATGTGTTGAGGTAATATTCAGTTAAACTTGGTCGAAATTAGACCAACGATTTTAGAACTTTTTTAACAATTATGATTTAAATCATTTATCCAAATGAGATTGTATTTTATTTAATCAGTTACACAATGAATGTATTGTTATGGATATTAAATCTGAAGATAAAGAAAAACAAAACAAACAGAGAAACGTTGACGCAGCATCCGACAAACTCAAGTCACACAGGGCCACAGAAAGAATATCTAAACGGGTACCAAACAAGTGTGACTTTCTTTATGCTGATAAATCATGTAAATAATGATAGTCATTCTAACAGTTTCGCTTATGGTCCTGTAATCTAACGATGTATGCCATGTATGCTTAGGTTAAAGCTTACGATCCTGCAGTTGTATTAAATGATGTGAAAGAAAGATCAGAGCCTGAAAGTGTCCGCAAAGTTTGGATCGGCTACAACTGTAACTTTGCTATTTACTCCGCTATCAATGAGGTAAATTGCATAAGTTCGTGTGTTTTATACTATGTCAATATCCGTTTCATTAGAAATAAACCTTTAATCATGGTTGTCTTTTTAATTTAATCTTATAAAAAACTCAATATATTTTCTTGCATACCATATCATGTCGCAGACTATAATCTAACACTAAAAATAGACATAACTACGATGTCAAGTGTATATCATGTTAATACTTGAATGTTAAATGACATTTGACTGGAGAAGACTGCCACAAAATATTGAACTTGACGTTACTTTATAACGTTTTAAGATGCATTTACTAGTATTTGAAACAGGTTCTACGATGGACATGATTCAATCAATAATTAATGACATTACAAGCTTAAATATTACCCATCTATTTTATTTCCACTCTGTTTGTGACTAAATAATGCACGAACGGGCCTCTGAGGTATTTCTCTATCAGTAAAGCTAAAAGGGCGCCATATGACCTTTGCAGTGTCAGTGTAACTGAAAAGGTGAAAAGAAATCCAAAAGGTATACTCAGCATATGTTTCTTTCATCCCTTTGCCTCTATTAAGATGGCATATATTTTGAATATTAATATAAAAAAATCATGACAATAAGATGCTAGAATATTTGTTTTATATTTTATACACATTATACACAAATTTCATACATTTATGTATGCTCTTTATCTTGTTTTTCAGAGTAAAGTTTACCAAGACAATACACCAATGGCAACAACAAAGATCATCAAAAATCCTGTTGAAGTAACAGGCATGAAAAAATCACATGTATGTATCATTTTTGATTATTTATTATTTGATTTTGTTTCATTTTTTTGCAAAATGTAAGCAATGAAAATATAAATCAACGCTAAAGTAATTTAAGTGTGACAATGTACATGGATATTGTGAATTCATGGATCTGTATTATCAGGTCATAATCTATTTTACATATTTGAATTAGTTTATACAACAAAGCTAAGAATTCAAAATGTGTTAATATAAAACCACTGTTGATCAAGAATCGCACGACATACCGCCAATTTAAATGTTGTTATTTAGCAGATGGACAGTGATATCAAATGTTTTATACGAATCTGAATCCAAAGTTGATAGTTTTTAACAAATTATTTCTAAACATAACTGTGAACAATCATCACAGTGTTTTATGATAACATTATTCTGATGAAATATATTCTTAAAAATTCCTCAGCAATCAATACTAGAAATATTTACCTTGGTAATGCTATAATTAAGATTCGAGATGGCGTTGCACTGATTTCATTCATGGCAAAACTAGAGAAGGAGGTCCAGGCAGGTGAGAGTTGGACAGAGTTATCAGCAGCACTAGCGCTTGATGCGGCTAGAGGGTATGTTGATGTATTCCTTACTTTTATCAAAGTTTATTAAAGTAATAATGCATTTATATGTATTTCTAAAATGCTTTTTCTTTTTGATGTACTTCTATAGTTTCTTTACTCATTGGCAAATTACCTTAATCATCTTTTTCTTATGTTGTTATTTGGCATTAAGTACAGTTATAATGATGTATGGAAGTCAAAATACGACATTGTGTACATTTTGCTACATCTATGACAAATTATTTCACATTTCGTGTTTCTTTCTTCAGACAACAAGCATCTTACATGCTTTAAAAGTTATGAAATGCACGTTTTTCATTTCTAAAAAAAGTCATATGTCGTTTTTATCTGTGCCTTTAAACGATTATGTATATACATCTCATGCGAGTGACGTATTTCATCCAACCATTTCCGTTTGAATTGATCACTGTTTTTATTTTTGTGTTTGTTTGTTTTTTTTGTTGTTTTTTTTTTTCGTTGTTTTTGTTTTGTTTTTTGTTTGTGTTTTTTGGGGGTTTTTTTGTTGTTTTTTTTTTAATGAATTTAGTTTTAATATATTTTTTATTTATTATTATGTATACAACACATTGGTTAAAGAACAACTTTTACCCCCTTGTTTTGAACAAAATTTAAGAAGGCCTATATAAGTTGATGTTGATGTCATTGAGACTTTTGATGATAATGCAAAGAACAGTTTGAAATATACTATAGAACTTCGTAATTTGCTTCAAAACAATTTAACAACAACCATTTGTGGGATCGGTTAGACGGTTGTTTGATAATATCCTTCATATATATTTCTTTAGATATGTTAAATCAAGAAACTTATGTCCTTTTGCTATTCCATATTTTAATAAGATCTTTCGAGGATATGTTATTTAATCAAGCACCGTTAAATCGTCAATTATGCATTGTTATAGATTACAACAATATAATAGAGGGACAAGTTTCAGTACTATATCATCGTTCGGTTCCAACGGAGCTATCATACATTACTCAGTTACCAACGTTACGAGCATACCTATAACAACAGATGGGATGTACCTCTTGGACTCAGGTGGACAATATCTGTATGTTAATATTGGATTCTATTTTAGTATCCTTAATAAAGCATGATGATGTTATTATACATATTAAGCTCCTTATCATTGTTGTTGTATTTTATATTCATTTAAAATGTTTTATTGTGGAATGAATTTTGATTTGTTTGTCTATGCTTCTTGTATCACCTAATAGTCTTAATAGTTTCATTGTGTTGGGTTTTACGTCGTACCAAGAACCTAATATTTTAATAAGTTCTTAGAATGGTATTGCATAATGCTTGATGAGAACCTTTATAAAAATTTCAATTTACACCTCTTTGCTATCAAGAGCAATTATTTTAAATCTTTATTTTCACTCAGAAGATAAAAATCATTTGACAGCTTACATAAAAGTTTGAAACTTTGTCAGGATTGAGTATTCTAAGACTACTATTTGTCAGGAAACAAGATATAAAGTGAAATACAATTTCATACAAAACAGAGATGATTTTTTACTTTACAAATACATGTTTCTTTTGTATCGGTATATGCTGAAGAAACATATTCTGATTTATATAAAGCAGTGTTTCACCTTTGATGTCAAAATTTTGAAGTAAATTTCTAGCTTTCAAGTATTTTAAAAGCTAATTGTGATTAAATTGGTATTATCAGATTTATATCAAGTCAAATAGAAACATGTCCAATGCTTTGTTACAGAGATGGTACAACAGATGTTACTCGAACTTTCCATTTCGGCACACCAACAGAGTTTCAGAAGGTGGAGCATTTTTTATTTAAAACTAAAATTATCACTCTAAGTTTGAAAGGGTTGAATAAAAAACTTTAAAGGAACTGAAATTATATTTTCATGAAACTGAAAAACTTCTCTGTCAGCAAGATTTATAGATATATAAGTAAATAAATATAATTTAAACTAATTTACTTTATATAGGAATGCTATACACGTGTGCTAATGGGACATATAAATTTGTTTCAAGCGAAATGGCCAAGAGGATTGTATGGTAAGTAATTATTTCATCGTCATTGTAGAAAAATATGTTTCCTTTTACTTTTAGATGAATATCAATATCAAATGCAAGTTTTACTTAATAAACTTTTAATTAATCTTTCACCTGATTTTTCAATTTTAACAAAGTGATTAGGCGATAGCTTGCTTTGTCGGTGCTACAGAGCGTACACGGTCGTTTGCATTAATCATCGTCGTTTATGAACAGAATAAATTAGAGACTGTGACATTTTTATTTATGATTTACATTCGTCGTCGACATTCAATGACTTGTTTAATTGAGTATACATTTTAGAAAATGGTGTATTATTTCCAGGTCGAGACCTAGATGCATTTGCAAGAGGTTCCCTCTGGGACGTTGGACTGATATATAAACATGGGACAGGGCATGGTATTGGAATGTATCTCAGCGTTCATGAAGGTAATCCTCTTGCGGTGTTCCCAAAACTTGAATGACAATCCAACATGCCCTTTTGCCGATCTAAATAATCTTTTCAAAGTAATTCATACTAAACACGATTTTCAGAAACGTTTATTTCTTGAATCAACCTGACGTCTGCTTCCTTTTTTTAACTGCAGCTGGAAAACATATCAATGGTTTACACCATGATTTTTTTTTACAAACGAGAAAATTTGAGGAGATTTGAGGAAATTTTCCCATATGTATGATTCGATATTTTTGAACCCACTTTATATTTGGTTAAGAAATAATAATTGTTATTATCATCATATGATTAAGTCACTTCATGTAAATGTATTTTTCAGGACCTGTGTATATGAGCTCAAACCCCAGTTCAACAAAAATAAAACAAACACTAGAGGAATTCATATTCATGTCGAACGGTAACTTTATCAACCTTTTTATGCGTGACTTTTTTATTTTAAATATTTATTGTAAGTTCAAGAATTGTTATGACGTTATGAAAAGTGCGATCACTCGGAAGCATTAATCACAACATAATTACATGGAAACTGCAGACTCGGTTTGATTGACTCTGTACATAAGGGATAATGAAAAAATACAACATCCCTCATGCCCCTAGCACCGGTTTGAGCGGTACTCAATTTTCAACACTTAAACGTGCTGGAATCTCGTTTTGCCTTACTTTCTGGATGAAGTAATATAAATGTATAGTATAATACAAGCTATTTTTGTCTTATTGTTTATTTTGTTTCCTCATCTTTTAATTTTAGAACCGGGTTTCTATCAAGATGGAGAGTTCGGCGTACGTTTGGAAAATATTGTAATGATCAAGAACGCTTCCACAACTGTAAATTTACTTTCATTTTGAAGTGTGAAAAATAGTTCTGAGAAGCGCTTTCTTTGGTTGTTAAGTAAAGACTGTTAAATCTTCCTTATTTTTTTTCTCAACTGAATTTAAGGCAACTGGACCATATGGGAAATGATTATGTAAACTAAGAGCGACTTAACACAGTCAGTTATAGCCAAAGAAAGCATTTTGTCTTAGAAAAAATCCGTTAGAATTGCAAAAAGATACATTGGAAAAAACTAACGTGAATCGGTACTCGTATTGTTTGAATTTTCTGTCGCTATCCAAAAGTCACGTTGGTTCGCCACCCTGTGCTTGGTTGTTGCAGAGCTGCCGCAAACGCTTGCATATCTTTGGTAAAGCCTTTTAAACTAGCCGTGACAATTTGCCTAAACTGCTAGTACAGGCTTGCAATTTAAGATTCATTTGGTTGAGTTATGATGATATGTTGCAGTTGAAATCGTTTATTATAAGAATGAGGATGTTTTAGTATCAAAAGAAAAAGTCAAATAAACAAGAACAGCAAGGAAATACTATAAAAGATCGAAAATCTTGCCAAAAGAATAGTCTATTGTCAGATTCAAGTCAATCAAAATGTGGAAAATATTACATAATTTTTATTCCGTGATGCGATATTTTGTCAGTACAAAATTTGCCTTGCAGAACTTTGTACTCGTATTTTTATTTCATTTTCTGTCGCTTATCTTAACATGTTTTTTCGATTATATTTTACTTTTCAAGTATCTTATTATAGTACACATTTCCTGGGACCCAGTTCTTGGAATTTGAGCACGTCACACTTGTTCCATATGAACCAAAGCTCATCAAGCTCGATCTTCTCAATGACAAACAGGTATACTACTGAATATATATGAATATATTATTGTCTAACAAAGATATTTATGAAGGAATAAGAAGTAATTAAAGCAGCACACCTTCATATTCACGGTTATTTTCATTATAAATTTTAAAATGTATTTGATGGTAAAATATTGTGAAGTGAACAAAGAAAGTAATGTACAAATTGCAAACAGCTTTTACAATCCACGTAAATTACTAATAACGATGTTAAAATACGCAAAATAGCCCTAATGCAGCTCTTACTTCGTAAGTAACGCAGTAGAAATATGGTGATAAATACTGCTAAATCAGGCAAAATCGCACATAGCATGCAAATCATTACTTGAATCTTGAATATGTTTACTTTTCTTAAAATCTTATTACACTTTTCTCAAATTTGATTTTCTTTAAATATTTTGGATCATCAGGAGGCATGAAGCTTTCATAAACTGGTACATGTATAATGAATTAATACACTTGTTACTACTATATATAGTGAAAAATCGCCTATGATTTCAACTGATTATGATTGTCACGTGACCTATCATGAGTTTGCGACCCGTTGCCGAGAACTAGTAATCAGCCCGCTGAACATGTGCACGTGCACAAACTGAAACAATGACCTCACAGTTTACGTCATCAAACAGTTAACTATAAAAGTGAAAGTAGGTTTTAAGCATGAATCGCTTGATTTTATTATGAGAGCTTTTACAAGTGTATTTCGTACACACACAGTTTTATTACTATTGAAATTTCAAGAAATAATACGACAAATTCCTTCCGAAAAAACGAAATATAGATTCTATAGTAGTGTACTTTGAACATACAAAAAGTAAACAACCCTTTGTACAGTACGGTAGAAATGCAGACAGGAATTTCAAGGACAAAGGAAGAAATTCCAAAGTATTTTTTTTTAGAAAAATTCTACTATTAGATCTACCAAGTGTATTAAAGACATTAATACACGGCAGAGTAGGGCCGGCAGGTGATAATCGGCCCTGAAATAAATTATGCCCTCGGGCTGAAGCCCTCGCGGCCATTATTTATTTTGCGGGCCGATTATCACCTTCCATCCCTACTCTGCCGTGTATTAATCTCTTAATAATCAAACAGTAAAGCCAAACAAAAAGCTTGCGCTTGCAATCATTATAAATAAAGATTAAAATATATGATGTTGCTGCTGCTGCTGCTGATGCTGATGATGATTATAAGTATTATGATTATTATGATTATAACCTTTCTATTTTCATTATTATTAGATCTATTATCATTATTATTATCATTATTATTATTATTATTATTATTATCATCATCATTTTTACAGTCAGTTAAATCGGTTCTTATACCTGTTTCAGATAAGTTACCTGAATACGTACAACAAGATGGTCAGAGATATTGTCGGACCAGAGTTGAAGAAACAGAGGAAAATGGAAGGATATGATTGGATGATGAGTAAAACTGAAAACATCGATATCAAAAATATGGACAAAACGTCAGGAGCAGACAGGATTTCAACTTTTCCCGTTCTCTCATTGTGCGTTGTTATTTTAACTATTGTATATTGTTAGGTCAAAAAGTATATGTAATCAGTCATTTTCGCATTTGATATTTATCATGTAATTAAATTTGTATGGAAAATATATTCAGACTGTATATCCGACCTCCAAAGCATGGATATAATTGTGTAAAACAAGAACAATTTTTTAAAAGTAAAGACAATGCGAAACAAGAATGGTTTGTTATTCTGTTACATGAAAAAAAAAACTTTTCATAATGAGAATAGATCTACTAAGTAAGAGCAAAACATTTTTTTTTAATTTGATATGCAATATAAAGAACTTATCTGAGAATTAATATGTAAGTCATACAGCATACGTGTATAATATTACACAGTCAATGCAATATACACGTGTTTACTCATTCAAATATCAAAATAAAAGTGTCATTTTGGTATTGTTTTGGGTTTTATTGTGTTCCATTGCATGGCGGTAAATCAGCTGCAACCGAAAGTGAAATGTTACAAGGCCTGTGATTTGGTATCAACAGCAAGTTTGAAATATGTGCCAAAAGTATATGTATCTTGATGACATGTTATTTTTGTTGATCAATGTATATATGTAAAACAGTTATAATATATCGAACTCGACTGTTATGTAGGAATATGACGGCGTGGACATCTCAGAATTTCCCCTGTAGAAAATGTTCTCGGCCTTCTTATATGTGTCTTTGTTCTGTTTATTGTTAACGGGACTTGAAGAATTGTGTTGCCTTTTCTTTCTGAAATGTTCCGTTATTATCGGTCCTCGTTTTCTGTTCTATTTATGTGTCTTGTTGTCAGGTTTTTTCTTGTCTGTTTTGTCTTGTCTGTATAGTTGATGTCCGCCTTGTTTCATTGTTCTTTCCGTGTTGTGTCCTGTCGTCTTTTGTCACGCTTGTTTTACTGATGTATCAAGTATCTTCTTGTCCGTTTTTTCTAAATATTTTGTTGTCTGCTCCATTCAGCCCGAGATGTTGCTTTTTGTAAGTTCCGTTAGTGGGTCTCGTACTGGAGACTTTTAGGCAGACAAGTATCGTTTTTCATTAGTTTTTTTTTTCAGTGTTATCTTGTTTGTTAACTTTTATAGTTTTTTTTCTTGTCTGCTCCATAAATTGACTTTTCATCTGTTTTGTGTTTTCCGTTCCGCGTGTTGTAATCTGTATCATTAAGTGTCCTTGATTTTGTTGGGCTGTTGTATGTTCCATTAAGTCTTTTTGCTGTCTGTATTTGTTTAACATAAAATCTTTTAGTTCCTCTGTTATCGAGGATACGTTTCAATTCTTCTCTTATCGGTCCTAGTTTCCTGTATTGTTGTCTATATTTCTGTATCGTTGATGGCCTTGTGTTTTGGGATCCCCCTGTGCTCCTTGGCACCGATTCTTGTTGCTGGGTCGTGTGGGTGTTGCGTTCATTGAACGCCATCTTTCATTGTTGATCTTGTCTATGATATTTTGTTGCATTGTGTTTATTTTGTCTCTTCTTTCTGTCGTGTGCTGTCGTGTGTTCAGTGTGTTGTAGCCGTTTCAGTTCTTTTGTTGTCGTTCCGCGTGTCCTGTTCCGTTGTATTCAGTTCTGTTGAGTCTCCTCTTGTCTGTATCGCCGATGTCCTGTATTTTGTTCCATTATGTCTCTTTTGTCTGTTCCGTGTTATGTCCTTTTCCATTCAGTGTCTTGCAGAACGCTCCAGTTAAGTTTTTGTTGTTATCTTTCCCTTTTTTGTATGTATTTTGCCGTCTGATCCGGTTTGTCTCTTTAGGTCTTTGAATTCTGGTCAGTTTAGTCTGTATTTGTATGTTTTAACCGTTTACTCTCTGTATGTATGCTCTCTGTATGTATGCTCTATTCGTTAAATCTCTAGAGTTCTATGTTCTGGTTTTGTCAGTCTCGTAATAATTTTATTCTTTCCATTCTTTCAGTGGAGTAGCGGGGGATCGAACTCACGACCCCTTGATTGGAAGGCAGACAGTGCTACCACTGCACCATAGTGCCCGCTCTGACTAATAACTGTTTTTGAAAGTCTTAAATACATAATATAATTACTACAATGGCTAACACAAAATGTATTGCAATTAAATTTTAAACACCTCTACTTAGATAGCCAACCCACGTGACTTTTATATATCGTCAAAGAGATTATTACACGATTTAAAGAATATTTTTATAGATAACTTAGCTATTTCTTTTGGATACCCTGCAAATTTAGTGGATGGGTACCCGAGTTGTTAGGTGTGATCTCGTATATCAGATGGTGTGATAATCTTTTTGTACAATTTTCCTAAAACCGAGACTTAATTCCGAAATTTCCAAGAGCAGCTATGGTATCGAAAGCACCGAACCAATCTCCCAATTTCAGACATTTAAAGCAAATAAACTGGCTATTATTTGCATAATGAAACGTTTTAAGTTCCATGAGAAACCTGTCATTGAATTTAATTTGATGAAAAAAAGAAAATGTTATGATCGTTAACACTGCAATGTAGATCAAAGGGCTGAAAGCACTGAATGTGACGTCTTAACACAAATTGAAAATGTATGCTGTTTTGTTAGAACAAAATTAATCTTTTCATAAACAAATTTTCATTTTAACCGCAAATTCTGTTTAACATGAATGTTTATCCTGTACAACTTTATGATCTAAAACTATCCATTTCCGTTTATTTAAATACTTTACTCGTTGACATGCTGCTTTCTTTAAAACATGGCGCATGCCACTAAACTAAGAGTAAATTATTATTACAAACTTTCTTAAAAATACCGCAGATTTCATCTGTGAAGTAAATATCTAATTGCTAAACGGTTTCTAGCAAAACAACTTGAAACTTTGTAGGTGTTAAGGTCTTATTAAAAAGGCAAGCAGCTTAAGGGAGTGATGAGAACTATGGAGGGAAGTATCCGCCAAAAGTGTATGTATCTTGATAACATTCTCATATCTGAATGTTACAATCTATGTGTGTTGATTGCATTCTTATTTATGCATAATTATTAGATTAATTGGAATATAACTAAAAATGTTCAAGGCATAATGATAAACCATTATGAGCAAAACTGTCTATATATAAATAAGACACATAATGTCGGACTGCTGGCACATAACAACATTGACCGAAGCGTACCTGTCCTGCCACAGTAGAAAACAAATACTACTAGTACAGTGAGCGAACGTAATGGAATGTTCGTGTTGTGATGCTTCCCTTTTAATTTCAACAACTGTGCTGATCTAAACAGACATTCGTGTAAGGAGCAGTTTATTTGGCTCTTCTTAAGGTATGCAGTGCAAAGCTGACCGTTCCCTTGCAGCCATTTTACGCGTGCGTAAAACATCGCTTGTCTCCCCTGTTTTATAACTTCATCAAATACGCAATGTTGGCGACAATGAAAATGTTAAACTTTATTAAGGGCCAATGTATTTAAAAGTGAGTGTTGACGTGCTTAATCTATTAAGTTTTTATAACTACTATGTCATTGATATTAACATCATCATTATGTAATTTATTAATCCAAACAATTGATTCCTACGTGCTTTTCAGTACAGATACAATATGCATTACGTTGGACGATCTAGTACATTTGATAAACGATATCCATTTGATTTTTATATGGATATTGACCTTATGACTAAACTTTTTTTCTGAGAAGTATTATATTTTTAACAATATAAACCTTGCTTCATGTTGGTAGGGATAAATGCTTACATGCTATCAATCGTCAGTTGATGTCTATGATAATAGTGCATTGTATTGCTCTTTAAATCGAGCTCTATCAAACGATAATATACTCCAAGTAACGCACATTTTCCTGCTCATAATGAAAACCCCTTTGTCAAGTCAGAAAGAAAATAAAATAACAACATTCAAAATAAAAACCAGATAATTATTTTATTATCATTTTGAAAAATATGAACACTTACAGACATGAAGAAAAGGAAATAATTGAATCACTACTTTAAGAAATCAAATGAAATAAATAATATGATAAAGGCATGAATGTAGGCAATGAAATAAATATCAAAAATTTCAATGACATATAGTGCACTAACGCTGAAATGTATCAAATTATAAAATACAATCAAACATGAAGTACGAATAGTGCTAGTTCCAAACAGTATGCGGAATGAATAAGCACCGATGAATGAAGCAGCATAGCACAGAAAAATAGGCTTAACACAGCTCAAAATTTGCAGTTATAGGTATTTCCTCTTGAGCGGATCAAAATGCAAAATAACACATTATTTGTTATCTTTTGAAATGATAAATTATTTATGCATATAGAGTTTTGTCGGAACTATTGATTAATTACGTATTTCATAAACTTATACACTGAGGTGAATATCGATGCATTTCGCTACATTCAATCAACAGATAATTTCAAAAGCGTCTCTATGATAATGAACAATTCGCATATATGCTTAGAAAAGCACTCGCTCGGACTATCAATGCGTGAGAATGAATACTTTGATCTCGGAAAGGTGATCTTATACCGGGACTTATCATTTCATTAATGACATCGTTGCTTTGAGTACGGGCAGCTAAGGTTCTTTGAGATACCTTAAAGGTCTTTATATAAGCATTTTGTTTTCAAATAGAAACTAGAGGCAGAAAGCATTTAAATCT